ACATAAAAATTTAAAACAGCAAGAATTGCTTTCCAGCGTAGTATTTTTAGAAAACAGGGTGCCATGGTGGCTCAGCGGTTAGCTCTGTCGACATACAGCAAGGTCACTGGTTCAAGTCCCGGCTGGACTAGTAGGCATTTCTGTGTGGAGTTTGCATGTTCTCCCCAACGCAATCTCACAGCAATTTGTAACTTTTTGATATAGTGGCTAATTCGTATGAATTCATACGATCTAATTCGTACAATTTGCTCATCACCCAATGACAGTTGGGTTTAGGGGCGGGGTTGGGTGCCTGCTCTCTTTTTTTAAAATTGTACGTTTTCGTACGACTGAACTCATACGAATTAGCCACTGAGCTGACAAAACTTAAAATACTTAAGTTTTCTTGTGAGATCAGGCTGGTTCTCCACATGTTGGCGTGGGTTTCCTCCGGACAGTCCAGTGTCCCCCAGAGTCCAAAGGCATGAACTATAAGCGAATTGGATAAACTAACTTGGCTAAATTGGGAGTGGGAGTGTGTGTGTGTGTGTGTGTGTGTGTGAACGCGAGAATGCATGGGTGTTTCCTAGTATTATGTTGCAGTTGGAAGGGCCTCTGAGGTGTAAAACATATGCTGCAATAGTTGGCGGTTCATTCCGCTGTGGCGACCCCTGATGAATAAACGCCTAAGCGAAGGAAAATAAATAGATTAATTATAAGAAAATAGTACTTCTGCTTCAATTTTGTTGTGGAATGTGTGATGGATTTTTCTGGATTCTTATGGAAAGCTCAGAAGTACTGCATATATCTGAAAATTGTCTTTATTTTCACTTTTGGTCAATTGTATTCATACTTGCTGAATAAAAATACTAAACTAAACTTAACTAAAAATAAATAAAAAATGTTACTGACCCCAAATTTGTGGATGCTGTAAGTTCTTCCATTGACTTTTGCTGTTAATTACATTAATAACAGCTAATATACTGCCATTAAACAAATCAAAAACAGTTAATGACACCTTCAACATTGTTTTCAACCCTAATAAGAAATCCTAAATGATCAAATAAATTATACAAGACAACAGAGATCAACAAAATACTGATATAGTGTAAAACTCAGATGATTGAGCGTGCCTCACACATAAACACAACTGAGGTCTTTGGTAGTTAATGATAAAAAGAATCTGATTGACTAGAACATGCAGAAGGCCACAGAGGGGTTACGCTCACTTTTCATCAACCAACAGTCACGATCGTTGAGGAATCGAGAGGAGATGAACTAATCTAGAGTTCAATGAAGAAAAAAAGAGCTTTTCACACTAGAAATAGTCCACTGTTTATCTTACAGAACTTAACAATGAATACTGTGCAGGTTTGACACTTTGCATTCCTAAATCTAGGGTTAATGGCCTTATTTGCATATTTAAGGTGTCTGTGCTTCTGATTGGATAACTGCAGCATGTGACTTGTTCATATGAAAGTTGTAGCGTTGCATCATCTCACATTATACTTACTTTTTACTGAGTGGACTAAGAGGAAAAGAAAAATACCAGACTCTTCTTTACTTCAATTGATGCATTTTCTGTCACTTAAAGCAATATTTAGAATGACAAAATGCCAGTGTTAAAAGGACAGATCATTATTTACTAATGCTTCACTTGTCACAAACCTGTTTGAGTTTCTTTCTTCTGTTGAACACAAAAGAAGATATTAAAAAAAAAATGTTGAAAGCCGGTAACCGCTGACTTCTATAGTATTCTTCTTTCTCTACGATGCATGTCAATGGATAGAGTTTCCAACATTCTCCAAAATATCTTCTCGAGAAGACTGGAACCACTTAAGGGGTGAGTAAATAGTGATTAAAGATTCTTTTCCTTGTTTAGATGAGTTATCCCTTTTAATGCTGTGTGAAAAGCCCTTCACTGTTGTCAACAGACCGCATCTTTGATATGCTGTTAATTAGCACAAAATCATTTTGACCTAACCTTATTATGTTGTGGATACAGGCAGGCAGCACCATGAACATGGCAGCCAACAAAAAACAAAAATAAATCAATTTTATAAAAATTGTATATTATATACAAATGAAATGATACATATAAATGTATTTATGCAATCAAATAGCTGAACTTAATTTATGACCAACTAATATCTCTAGACTGCCTGCTAGGCTAATACTGTAAGATTACTGTTACTGTAAATGCAGTTTATATTCACTTTTACAAATGAAGGGATAAGTCAAAATGATTATTTTGTCAAAGACATGATCTACTGACAAGCTGAAATTGCTTCACTTCTACTTAAAGCACTAACATTAGTACTGTAATGTACATTATCGTTCAAAAGATTTAATTATTTAATGTTTTCACTCTGATATTGAATGTATGTAATTTTAAAATGTATACTAATAAACTTAAAACCTTTGTCTGATCTGGGTAAATTCAAGAGGGAAAAAGGATTTATTAATTAAACAATAAAGAAATATCTATTAATTAACAGTTTCCTGTAGTTTGTGATTCAGGGCTTATTTACACTTTAGCTTTTGCATTATGAGGCCTTCATTTTTACTCTGACAACTTCTGATGCTAAAAAGTTGATCAGAAAGTGACTTCTACTGACATTTTAAGTAGTCTGAAAGGATATATTGTATGGGTTGGTCATTTATAGTACAAAAACAAGGTACCAAGCTGCCATTACTAGTTATTTTACAGAGTTATTGTTTATGCATGGTTTCAAAATGCTAAAAAATAAGGTGGCCGAGAGAGCTTAACGCACTGCAATTTACGAAAGCACATGCATTTACAAAAAACACCAGCAAATACAGAAACGATCTTCATCAATTTGACAGCACACACGTTGCAAATTGGTCACAACACAAACAACTGAAGAAACGCCCTGCAAATTATTCACAACACTTGCAAATATCCACGTAACACAACGGAAATGTTTCAAGGGGAACCAAAACCATGAGGATTTTTGAAGCTGTGTCACGGCCATTAGATCCTTGCGTCAAATCCAGCATGGAGAGTGGATGTCTGTACCTGCGAGTGTACTGTGACGCCTCTGAGTGTGCAGCATTGATTCATGAGAAAGACTTTGTTCAAACCAATCAGCACACACTATTGTGAATGAGGTGCAACTTCACTGATATGCATGATAGCTTCGAAGTGTCCAGATGGCAGAGAGATGCCACATTGTGTTGTCAACCATTATTAAAACAAGCGGAAGAACAAGAATTTGGAGACATGGGTCATCAGTGTTTTGTTTATAAATGAGCTGCAACGGAGGTTTTGTTTTCATTTTCCTATGAGAACGCAGCTGGACTCTGCGTGCACTGGATTACAGTGCACGTGACAGAAATACGTTTGTAACTAACATTTTTACCTGAGAGCTTTTCACATCTGGAAATGGTGAAATCCGGATTTGCCGCTGGTCTCCTTTTTAAAAGGATGCGCCTCCAGTATGTGTTGATTGTCCTGTCTACAGATTTGGTAAGCGATCAATGGTCTTTATTTGTGTATTCAGATGGCAAAGTTAGTTTGTATCGTCAGCAGTACTCTTTCAGTGTTTGAAGACAGACCTTAGTCAAAATGATTTGAACTGTTACTAAGTTTACAGTACATTAATATCACTACAATAATCTGAACTGAAAGATCCGCTGTAGATGCTGTTCTCCGAGGGTAAACATGTAAACACCGCAATCAAACTATTACCGGCGTGTAGGAATTTCGCCGTATTTTGTGACAGGATAGTCTATAAATACACATCTTTCCGACACAACCTTCCGATTGCATATAAGTTACCGAGAAATGCAAAGGGGTTTTTTTTTCTCTCCCATTTGCCGTGCGATATCAAATACTTTATTAAAACAGCACTCTTCCAGCAATTCCTCGAATTCAATATCTCGTTTGTCACTGGGGGCATGCAGGAATGTTCCTAAACAAAGGTGAAAGTGGCAAACTGCAGTTAAATTCGACAAATTAATAATTTGGCAAGTAATTCGATTACCGATGTCCATGTGAACACAGTCACTGTCTTTCTCCCCTGCGTCTGTGTGTTTATTTTGCCTCTGTGAAAATCAGCACATGTCCAAACGGAAAAAAATGTATGCAAAACCTTCCCTCTTTCCCTCCCCCGACACTCCCACCAAAACAGAGCTGGACACAGCCACTTCGACACCCACTTTGACCCACTGAGACAGGGGGGTTTCATGGCCCTGTAATATCGTGATTACACGGCATAAATAAGAAAACACATCCATATCTCAGCAGGGTCCATCATGTTTTTGGGTCCTCTTGAAACATTTCAGTTGTGTTACGTGCATATTTGCAAGTGTTGTGACTAATTTGCAACGTGTGTGCTGTCAAATTGATGAAGAGCTTTTCTTTATTTGCTGGTGTTTTTTGTAATTGCATGTGCTTTCCTAAATTGCAGCACGCTAAGCTCTCTCGGCCACCGCAAAAAATATCAAATGAAAGTCATTTTTTTCAAACAAAATTTTCACGATCAAAAGTTTATGTAGTAGAAATCAATGCTCCATAACGCAAATCCGAAAACACGAATCACAAAATACAAGAAACAGTTAATTAACAGATCTTTTTGTTTTTTTACAGGCTACAACAATAAAAATAGCTACCACGTTATAATTACGTGCATACTGCATACTAGTGGAATATTTTCATAATCCATATCCGTTTGTACTATTAATTGTCAGTCGCTAGCTTGCATTGAGTGCATCTTATCTGCAGTATTTAAGATAAGATTAAGTTCAAATTGTAGATGCCATAGGAATTACTTTTATCAAATCCAAACCTTGTCTTATACGAGATGCAACTAAGTAATGCTCCGTTTGAATCATCACGTACCAGTCAATAGAAGGTCAAAAGTAAGGTCTTTGGAGACAGTCTCGTACCTTTTATGAGTTCACCAGATCTAAAAACAGTGCCATTTCCCTGATGCACCACTGCTGTATATGAAGACACAGAAGGAGCTTCCTTCTCTTACTCCAGATTCACATCTTCATCACTGCTCCTCAGGAGATGTGTCCTCCATGCTTGCCATCTTGCTGACTTTCTCCACCAAGGCTTCAGGGCTGATTTTGGGAAGGCCGTTGTCTAAGGGACAGCCCTCCACCAGACTGTTCATTGGCGTTGGAGGAACCCGAGTGTCGTCCTCAATCCCAGCGTCCTCCAGACAGTCACTCTGGTCCTGGTTTGAATCATCGTCCAGGTCCAGATCCTCCATGTTCATACACTGAGCTTCTCTCCTTTCCTTCTCCTTTAGGAAGTCTGTGATTATAGGCATCACCTTTTTGCGAGACGCCAGTGTGTTACCCTGAATAAAGGCCTTCACATCTGGATATGGACTGCTTAATGGCTTAAGCTCCAGACTGGGGTTTTTGGCTTTTTCTAGTGCTTTACTCATCTGTGGAAGAAAAGCATTAGATATCATTTAAAACAACTTAATCATTGAAGTCAAAGTGGCTTTATTTTGTACACTACCAATTTAAAATAAACTATATAACTATAAACCTATAAAACTATATAAACCATATCATATCAAAGCTAGATTTACATTACTCCAGTAATTTTAATAGTCTGAATTGCTGATTTTGCGATCAATGTTGAACACAGTTGTGCTGCTTAATATTTTTTTGAAAATTTTAGTTGATGTTTTTTCCCCAAGAGAAAAGGTGTATTCAGCGATAAGGAATAGGCTGGATCAAGCAATTTGCTTTCATTAAAATGGACCGCCATCAAAATACTGGAAATAATGCAAATGATTAAAAACGTGACAAAAAAGTGACAAACACATTAAAATGGTTGAGCATTTAGTGTAAACTACTGTTAAAACACCTGTTAAATCTTTCAAGGCCTCAGATGTCGTTACCGTACGTTCACACCGAAAGCGGCGAGAGCGCCCAAGGTCGCTCTGGCCGCCCTGGCGACAATGCTGTCTGCCTTCAGCTCCAGCGGCGGGAGCGTCCAAACTCGCTACATTGATCTCGTATTTAAAGGAGCTAATGCAGCATATCAGTTACATTCCTGCATAAAACATGTTTCTAGCATGAAAATGTTGCGCACTTCTTATCAAATTCTTTTAACAATGGAAGATCAAGTTGCGTATGGTGTGGCTTTGCTCTATTTATTAAATATGTGTCCATATGTCTGAAATATCCTGAAGCAGCTATACTGTTTTGTACTGTCACGTCGCGTGAGATTCCCGCATTTTTAAGATAAATATATATAACATTTATGAACATCAGTAACTCGCCAGTAACTTATTTAATGCATCTTCCTGTAAGAAAACATTGTAAATAATTGGAAATCCGGCGACCGCAATCATCAAGCCCTTGGGAACAACTGTGGTCGGAACCAAAGTTCACAGGTCTGTGTTCTCTGAACCAATCGGTGAACGTCTTCATTCTGATTGCTTGCCACCGAACCGAGACATAGCTCATTACCATAAAGTTGACTTGATTTCAACTCTCCTCGACGCCCACGCTGGAGAAGACACGCCGCGCTGCTCCTCGCCGCCAGCTCTTATTGAAAATGAATGACTTTCGGCTACTTTGACGCTCTCGCCGCTTTCGGTGTGAACGTCCGGTTAGAATGTCAGGGTTCCATGCTAAGTATTTTTTTCTACTGGCTCGATCAGGCCAGTGATTCAGATTTTTACTTGCCCTGGCAAAATTGTCACTGGCCCCAATAATAATAAAAAAAAGAAGATAATAGGTATTTCTTAGCCACATATTTTAAATAGTGTGTCAAAAGTCAAACATAACTGTATACATACATTTTTTATTCAATATAACTTTTCTTTAAATACAACTGACTAATATTTAAAAGCAAAAATGTGCACTTTAATTTTGACACTCACAGACATGGTCACCAGATATAAATCAGAGAGGTAAGACATTCTCATACATAGCCTCATTTTATTTGTCAAGTTTTGTAAAAATCTATCCATCTATCTATTGAATTAATCAATCTATTAAAAACATTGGCTACAATTATGCATTATAGGCTTAAATTTGAGAGAGAAATAACAGATGAAGCGAGACTGCAGTCTGATAATAAAGCAGATCAATGTTGATCTTTCTGTCGAGGTGTCAGTGCAGAAACGAACAAAACAATAGGCCTAATAGAAAATATTATAAGATTAAAATATGGAAAAATTATCAGATGATAATTTTTGTCAACGGTTAAACAGCTCTCTGTAATCTTTCAGAATGTATTCACTTTCGTATTTGACATGAAACACACATTTGACGATAGGAATGACAACCGTCCATGCTCATTATCTCTTTAATTACCCGTATGGCTATTACACAACCATAATATCAAATCAAATCACTTTTATTGTCACATAATCAGCAGCACGTGTGCTATGATGAGTGAAAAGCTATACACTGTGATATAGCCAGGTTCACCCGTTCGTTGGATTGCTTTGCTTTCTCACTACAATCAATCGGCTCCAGAGTCCGTTTCAATCGAGCTGTGGCCACCTCATTCATGCGATCTCAGACCAATTTTTTTGGCGTAGATCAGAGCGATGTTGCAGTATTCACATATGCTAAACGAACCGCGCTAACAAGGCAAACGAGACGGCTTCCAAAACAAATGTCTGGGTGTGAAAGCACCCCAGCACTGTATTTGCATGCAATTGACAAGCAGTCGCAGACAAAATAAAACTACTGACAAGCCAGCCAAATCGGACCAGTAATGATGCTGTATACTGTCCCAAGCCTTTGTATCCCTTTAAATGCAAATGAGTTGCTGGTCTCCACCCCTTTCCAGAAATGGGCGGAGCCTTTTAGTGTTGGATACTCCGGGAACACCAAAACAAAACATCTACATGTGTTTTTGTCAGTTTAAACTCTTAATATGTGGGTTTCTGGGCTGCACAAACATGAACAGTCATTTTCTTTTCAAAATATCCAGCATTTTCTAGTGTGCTTCACACAATCAATGAAGAAATGGCATGTATTAGTTCTGTCAAGCAGCATCCCTTAAACATGACACACTACTTATGCAAATCAGTAAGGCTTTATTAGCTATGCTTCTATTTGACTATTTTTATGCATAAAAATTGAGTAATTTAAATAATAAAATGATTTAAAAATGTATGCACACAATGGAGTATGAAAAGTTTTTATCTCATAATTAGGAATTAGCATAAACTACTGTGGAAACAACAACCAAATAAATTCCAGCATACACATAAAAAAGTCATGTGATTTTGTTTTAAAAGATCAAGTTATGACAAAAATATGCATGATGGGATGGCATTAATGGACTGTACAAACATAATGGACCCACTGTACAAAGTTTGAAATGTTGTTTTGGTCGTTTCTAAAGTCTCTTGACCAAAATAAGCCACCAAAGTGGTTTTTCGGTTTTATCATTGTCATATTATTATCATTACCTAAAGAACTGTCTTATGCACCTGAGGGATCCAAAAGCCATCGCCCACTTCGACATCATCTTCTGAGAGGCAAGTAAAAAAAGCTCGCAGTGACTTCTACTAAAGCAAACTCCAGATTCTTTTTGATATTTTCCGCAAGTTCATCAGAAAGTGACAGTTTTGTTCTCTGTGACTCGCTGGATAAAAAAATTATTTGCAAATGATTTATGCAATATTTCAGTTTTGCACATAAATCTAATTTTCATATTTGGATGAAAACATATCTAACGTCTTTAGTAGTTGTTTAAAGAGCCCCTATTATGGGTTTTTGAAAATAACCTTCCATGCAGTGTGTAACAGCTCTAAGTTAATGAAAACATTCAGCTGAGATTTAAATCTAAAAGTGCACCATGTTTAAAACTATTGATTCTTTAGCGAAATGGTTAACTCAGAGTCAAATAAATGAATCGAGTTGGGTTCGGATATTTTGTTTGAGCGCATTGACGCGCAACGGTACATCACCAAATATGGAATTACAGTTCCAGTAAAATGCGCATGCGCTTTCACTTCAGACACTAGTGGAGGCGCGGGGAATCACAGGACTGATCATGACGCAGAGATGACAATCACTGACAGATGGAGATTCGGCAGAGGGGAATAAAGTCTACATTTTCACAACAATACTATAGTATAGCCAACCTAGATCTGTGTTTGTTTCTGTCACGTTTTGATACAACGTTTTGACAATCACGTTTTGATTGATACAATAACCTACGCTGCAACACGGGATTCGTCAGATTCGTCGTTTGCCATTGAAGGAGCAGCAGAGACTGTGGGACTTTGTCAGTAACTTTTACAGTTCCTATGGACTACTTTCTTCTTCCTCCAGATCATAACATATAAGTGTAATTAAATTGTGGCCTTGTTTTGTGTAGTTTGCAAAATATGTGTTTAATTTTGTGTTATAAGTTGTAATGGCCTTGCGCGGCTTGTAATCACGTATCTATTATAGATCAGTGCTTGTAATGTATCTCTCAGGTTAAATCTGTATGGGGCTGTTCACATATGGTTAAAGAATATGCTGAAGTTTACTGCGTTCCTGCAGTGGACTCTGTAGCTGCTGTAGCCGTGGTGGGCATTTCTTACTGTCTTGCGCTGAATCCAGTCGACCAATCGCAATAGAATGAGTCATCGGTCCAATCAGCACAGATTAGCTTTGCGGTAAGGTGGGGTTTGGGAACAAAACGATCGCTGAACGATTTATATGAGAGTTGCTGGGATAATAAGGTAAAGACAAATGCATATTATGAGACAATAAAAACGTTTTTTGACCTTGCATGCATATCAGTCTGTTGTTGGAGACCCCCAAAACCAAAATATGACCTTTTATAATGCAAAATACGGGCTCTTTAATTGAGACATATAAGACCCAGAACTACAATTGAAGCATTGGAATGACTGGTTACTGATACAGAGAATAGCCTCCTTTTAAATAGACATTGTAACTTTACTGATCTTTTACAGGCTCAAATAGGCAACAAGTAAAAAAAAAACCTGTAAAATAATGCAAACATGCAGTTGCGAGAAAGACATTTAAAGCCTTGATGTCCAGAAAAGTGCAGCGAGTACCTCTTCCCTGTAGACGGTGCTGGAGCTGTAGACGGCCAGCTGTCTGAAGGGCTCCTTGCTGTCTTTAAAAGAGATTGTCATGGCCAGCAGCAGATTATAGTTGTGACTGTGGCAGAACTCGCAAAGGTCCTGCTGTAGGCCACTTCTCTGAAGAAAATCCTGAGACACAAACCAACTGTTAACACTTGACATTTACTAAAAACACTGTTTTAAAGAAAACCCTAAAGACACAACTGCACTGTTGACACTTGAGCTTTGAATAAAAATAAAACACTGCAATCCTTTCACTATGCGAGACAACAAAAACTCATTAGCAGATACATGTTTTCCACATGTTTATACCTTCTTCTGCTTGTTTTCAGCATAAATATTTTTTTATTTTAGTAAAGATGTTAGTTAAGTGCATTACATATCAAGAATTTTAACGACATACAGTCCAAAAATAATGTTTGCTGTTTATTCAAACTACTTATTTAAAATGAGTTGAAAGAACACAACTCTTAAAAATGTTTTAACTTGGTTGTTTAATGTTCAATGTTATGTACACTAGTTTGGGGTCAGTGGGATTTTTAAATGTTTTAAAAATGAGATTAAAATTAAAATTTATTAAAAAATAAGCATATCCTGCTCACCAAGGCTGCATTTATTTCATTAATAATACGGTACAAACTGATCAACTGTGAAATGTTATTGCAGTGTAAAATAACTGTTCAAAAGTAGCTTTTATTAATTTATTCCAGAGATTTTAAAGATGAGTTTTCAGCTTCATTAACCCAATCTTTAGAGTCACAGGATCCTTCAGAAATTACTGTAATATTAAGTGTTATTATTATTATTATTATTATTATTATTATTATTACCATCATCATCATCAATATTATTAATTATTATTATTGAGCAATTATGACTGAAGTAATTATTTCATTTGAAACTACATACAATATGTAATAAATAAATATTTAACAAATTTAAGTAAGTATTTAACAACTTAACAATTTTTTACATTTAATAAATGCCGCCTTGATGAACAGAATAAATTTAAATAATTAAATAATTATAATACAAAACTGACCCCAAACTTTTGACCAGTAGTTTAAACTGTAAAAACTAATGAGCTAACTTAATTCTTTCATGTTGCCCCAACACAAATTAATTGTGTGGAACCCAACATGTTTTACAATAAGTAAAAATATGACATTATCAATAATAAAAGAAACATCCCAGAATAAATATAAAATAAATTATCACAAAGTGCCAAAAACAATAACAATAACTACAAAAATAAATGTATCAACAACAAACTGAAGATTAATGTCTTCAAAGAATGGCATCAAAGTTTAGCATGATTATCAGATTACAGATTTGTAATTTTATAAATATTTAGTGTTTTAGTGAGTTGAACAAATATTTTCCCAAATTTGTTTTGAGAGGGTTTATAAATCTGTTCCCAATATTTTATTATTATTTTTATTATGAATCTGTATATATATATATATATATATATATATATATATATATATATATATATATATATATATATATATATATATATATATATAACACATTATTCATTCATTCATTTTCTTTTCAGCTTAGTCCCTTTATTAATCTGGGGTCGCCACAGGGGAATGAACCCCCAATTATCCAGCATATGTTTTACGCAGCAGATGCCCTTCCAGCTACAACCCATTACTGGAAAACACCCATACACAGTCATTCACACTCATACACTGCGGACAATTTAGCAAACTTAATTCACCTGTACCGCATGGCTTTGGACTTGTGGGGGAAACCAGAGCACCCGGAGGAAACCCACGCAAACATGGGAGAACATGCAAACTCCACATAGAAATGCCAACTGACCCTGCAGAGGCTCGTCTAACACTTACTAATCTTATTTTTTAAATATTTTTTTATTATATAGAATTATATTTTGAAAATATTGTGAGATACTTATGTATTATTTACGATTATTAAAATAAATTTATTTATTTAACATGCCAAGCTAATTTTACATCTCTAACTTTTTTATATCGTGTCATCTACAGTGTCCCTGTCTCCTGTATCATGAACAAAGAAAGTTCTGACACCTTTCTGCCATCTGATTAAACAGATGATGTGCAGCTACTGTACAGTGCAACGTGAAGAGAGCAGGCAGGTGACGTGTGCAGTGATCAGTGGGTGTGTGAGACGCTTCGCCCTGCCCTGCGGTGAGTCTGGGTGTGTCTGAATCGCTATTAATGAGGAATTCACTGAGTCATGTGGACAAGCGCATGAGCACAGTCTGTGCCCACAATAGCAGCTCCTTACATTTCAGAATCCACGTTTCCTCTTTCTGGATTCAAGAACGTACCACATAACTCATTACATACAGAAGGAAACATGACATTGGCATGTGATCTTCTAATGTTTCCTGAAAAATCCTGACAGATTGATTTAAAAATGCATGAGGTCAGATTTATTCCGGTGGTCAAAGAGATGCACTAATATAATGACAAAAATGCAATATTAATAATTCATTGAGGATTTTTGCTCTCTGTAATATAATCAATATTTTTCTATTGAAATGAAACATGGAAATTCAGCACTGAACAAAACATCTGGAATGCTTCTTGCAAACATGTAGGAACACGCATAAGCAAACACATCTTTTGTCTTTGGCCATAGATCACATGGCTTTTGTTCACACTGAATGTTTATTTTGCACTTGCAAGACTTGCATTGTAGGTATTACATCATTTCAAGCTTCAATTATGTTAATAACACAAGACTACATGCAGCATGTACAGCAAAACTTGTTCAGCTCTGAACCTGATTTAATTGACAATAAAACATTTTTAAACAGATTTTATGATTTTCTAAGTAATTTTTAATGATTCATCAACTTATAGTGGGTTTTATTTTATTCAATCTCTACAGTGAATGAAAATTCTAATATTGTATTATTATTTCACTGTGACGATTCAATATTGAAATGTATTAAAACAATAGCTGCATCCCAAATAGCACACTATACACTATGCACTTTGTACTTATGCACTTAAACACTCAACAGCATAGTATATGTAGTGTCATCCTAAATGAAACACTAATGTTTTTTTAAGAAGTGGAAAGTCACACCATTTCCCTGATGATGTTTGACGTTTGCCAAATTAGTGAAATAAATGATCCAAATACCAAATAATACCTGCCGCGAGTATAACCATATTCACCATCTGTATCACTCTTGTAGGAGAATTTTGCTTTCACAATCCAAAATAAATAAAGTAATCCAACATCAGTGCCCGAAAGCTCCGCCCCTTCCACTTTGTGAGCAAACCAAGCAGCAACCTCCCGCTCTCCCTCATGAAGCAAATATGGAAGAAACTGAAACTGGAATTCATCAAATTCTGCTAGACCTGGCTCTATAATAGAGCAGATTTCTATTGACCTTTCTGTTAAAATGGCCAACTTTACAGCCGAAAGAAAGGTGTTTACAGCCTGGTACAAAAACAATTTTGGTTCACATAGCTAATATAACCATGAGAGGGGTGAATTTTTTTTAGAACTCATCCGTTTTGTTTATATTAAGTTATATCAAGTCTGCATAATTAAGGACGTAGCCACTTGAGTGACAGCTAGGTCTCGCTGGTCACCGTCACTTTACCTCAGCTGATTCCGGCTGATTAGCCGCTGAGCTCGGCTTTGTATATCGTATTTTTGTTTTGTTTTATGTGGCTACACACAATCAGTTGCTTTTTGGAATTATTTCTAACAATTATCAGACGATAGGGCATACAAGTTGCCTCCATTTCCCAGGTGTGTGAAATTATACTTGTATACCATCTCTATAAATCTATTTGTATTATTTAAGATATTTTATCATTCAGAATTTTCTTTAGAGCTGTAATGCACTCCAGAATCTGACAGATTGATTAGCTGTAGGCTATAGAACAGTCATCTGAAGCATTGTCAGACAGTGTTATGCCTGGATTTCTTCAATAGCCTTGCATTTACTAACACAGACTATATTTGAAGGGTTTGGAAGTAATTTGTGTTTTCCTCTAGTAAAAAAACATCATAATAACAATGCTTAGTGGCTTAATGTATTACAACAGTGTTTTTAAAGGACTAAACATTTTACTGATAAAGTGCACAAACTTTTATCAGTAACTTTTATTGTTTAATGATCAAGTTTAACTTCATTACAATGTTAATGCATTATGTTTAATTATCAAGTTTAACTTCATTACAATATTAATGAATTATGTTTAATGATCAAGTTTAACTTCATTACAATATTAATGAATTATGTTTAATGATCAAGTTTAACTTCATTACAATATTAATGAATTATGTTTTGCTTTGATGAAATTAAAGAAATGCAATAAAGAAATCAGATATTTTTAATGTTTTTTTATTTTATTTTGAGGATTCCAAAAAACAACATTAAAATGAACGTGCACAACATGCCCCTTATCTGGGCAGCAGTGCAATAAGACGCAGCCTGCCATTTCCATTTCAAGATCAGCTCGAGTCATTCCTGGGAATGTGCTCAACAAGGAAGGGTCAATCTCCAGGGGTGTGTGTCAAGGAAAGACAGTCTCGTTTTTTCCTTTCGCAACTCGCAAAATCTGCTCTCAAATGCAGTTTGCATATCAACGATCGCACCTTGTAAATAATCACCGTTGAGTGAGTGATCGGGATGGGCTTCTTTGAATTCTCTCAGGGAGGGAAAATAAGAAAGCGTGCCCCGCTGTACATCTTTGGCAAAGACAGCTTGCGCTCCATGGCGCATCACACAGCCGCCGGTTTGTTTACAACAGCTACCTGCCTGGCATTCCGCCCTGCTGATAGAAACGTGTGTCGCAGGCTATGACGCAAATCTTCGTTGACAGAAATGTTGAAATTAAATATTCTACACACTTTTACAGCATTGGAAAACGTTAAGATTGTTTGTCCTCCTATAGAAACCATATGAAAACAAAAATATATTTACCTCCCTCATCGTTTTCCATTTTCAAACATTTTTTGAAAAAGTTCCAGGGAGCCACTAGGGCAGCGCTAAAGAGCCGCATGCGGCTCTAGAGCCGCGGGTTGCCGACCCCTGGTATAACTATACCCTGATTAAGCAGTTCATGCCCCTGCTCTTTATGCATTTTGTTTCATTCTTGATCCTAAAAGAATCTTTTTTTTTTTACTTTTTAAAGTAGTTGTGCATCAAATATTCAGTGTTAAAAGAATCTGAAAATTCTACAGTGACTTATGATATTTTATTCAGTTATAAAAAAAAAGTATCGTTATCACAATTAACATTTTAACAAGAGGTGTGTAAATTCAAGAGTGGAACTGTATATTATTCATTCATTCAGTTTCCTTTAGCAGTGGTTGCCAAAGCGGAATGAACTGCCAATTATTCCAACACCCACACACTCTCACATTCACACACTCACTTATGTACTATGACCAATTTATTTTATTCAATTTACCTATAGCGCATGTCTTTGAACTGTGGAGGAAACTGGAGCACCCAGAGGAAACCCAGACAAACACGAGAAGAACATGCAAACTCCGCACCGGCACTTAGTCACAGTGCCACTCCACTGTATATTCATTCATTCATTTTCTTTTCGGCTCGAACCACTGACTTTCGTGCCATGAGGCGATCGTGCCACCCACTGCGCCAATGTGCCACAATATTTTATTTATAATTTTAATCTGATTATTTACATTGTGGCAATTAATAGATCACAATTTTCTTTAATATATTTTTGTTTGTTTCATAAAAGAGATGTTTGAAATCAATATAGTATACTGACAACTAAACCTTTTATATTTTTAATGAAATAAAACTTTAAGTAATCCGAAAGAAATAATTTTTTTATAAATGTATTATCATTTTTTGTCCAATCCATTATGTCTGTGTCTGCTTAAAATTATGAAGCAATGGATTAAAAATATACTGTTATTAACAGAATTTCACTACAACAATAATTAAATAATTTACAACTTTAATTAAAATGCAAAATAGTTATCTAAATTTTAAAAAGAAAAAAAATTACATCTGTATATATGAATTTATATGTATGCAAAACTATGATGAAAAATGCAATAGCCAAACCCGTCAAATCAAAAGTTCAAAAGCATCAGAGATTGTAGGACATTTGAGATCTCAAGTGACAGATTCCATCCAGTACTGACCTCTAGTGTCATGTAAATAACACTGACAGCCAATCTCAGATCGCCACCAGACGCTGCTTTCATGTCTTTCAGCAGCATCTGCTCTGTGGACAGGCCTGAAACACAGAAGAGCACTTTGAAATCACTCGAGGATGAACACGTGCTGTAAAGTCTCAATCTGAGCCTGCATCAAACTGTTTCACTTCAAGCATCGTCTCTCACCTGACACGTCAAACTTGGCATTCTGCAGAGACTGAAACAGAGCGCCCCGCGGAGGCAGTTTTGGGAAACGCTGCTCCAAAAAGATGGCGTACTGGCTGTCCTTCGGGGTGACTTTACCTGCTTCAGGTGCCATGTTAACACAGTCCAGGATGATGGTACCTGTCAACACAAACCACATTCAGCAAGTCAACGAGATTTTATCTTTCTGCTGACAGTTCGCATCTTTATGAAACCATCCTGACTACCAGGAAAAATATTTCAGAATTACCTTTATCCTTAAAGGGACAGTTCACCCAAAAATTAACATTTACTCAATATTTACTCTCCCTCAGGAGGTTATTTCTAAGCCTTTTGTGTTTATTTCTGCTGGTTGAACATAAGAAAGAAATATATTTTGAGGAATGCTGAAAAGCTATAACCATGATATCCATAGCAATAAAAAAAACTTTACTGTAGAAGTTAATGGTTACAGAATTCTAACATGTTTCTAAATGTCTTATTTTGTGTTTAACAGAGGAAAAAACTCATAAAGGTTTGGAACAAATGAGAAGTGAGTAAATGAGGACAGAATTGTAACTTTTTTGGGTGAACTATACTCAAGTATCCCAATCGTTTAAAAGGTAATTAGTGAACATAAAACATTATTTTTGGGGAAAAAAGTTATTTTAAACTAATCATGTCTCCACTAGAGTTTACATCAGAATGTGGTGCATACAAAAGTGAACCAAAATAAAAATAAAATATAACAAAAATACCAAATTCTACATAGAAAAATCAGTAAAATGACTCCACATCACTGTTAGTGTAATGTACAATATGAAACTTGTCTTGAGTTTTTTTCTGATTATCTCACAGTATGATATTTCAGAGATTTTACATAATAATGGCTTAATTTGGAAGCATTACTCATCATCACATATGTTTTGTTGTAACAAGCAGATTTGTGACACCTTCATGCTTGTCAAAGCCCCTTTAAAGGAAGCCGCTGTTCCACTATCGAGTGGAATGGTTCTGAGCAGTTCATCAGTTCACCCATGGCCAGAGTTCCATCTCAATGAATGGGGGAAAACCTGAAATCTCAAATAGTGCTCGCTGAATTAAATTACATTTCAAATCAGCAACAACATCTGTCCCATTACTGTTGTTTCTTAAGCCTTAATTACATTTAAAATGAGTTATTTTCAGTTTGCACTGCACTAATCTCTTTTACGCCAATTTCATTGGTAACCAGAGAACACAGCTGCAAACACTGGAAGAACTGAGACAAAAACCCAGAGCAAACCACAGGATGACACTGGAAGGACACGATATGTGATGGGATGAGATGCCATTGAAAAAAATCAATGCAGGCACACAGTACTTACTGAAGCACAGGGCTTGTTGTAACAAACGCATTACACATGATCATCACAAACCCCTCCCTAAAAGAACCTGGTATCTATAAACATTAACGATTGGCTATGTCAACCAGAAGGCAGGATCTCCTTCTCTGTGGTGGCCATACTGAGCATGGCATTGCTCCCAATTCGTAGTAATGCAAGTTAACTGTCTTTGCATATCATTTTAGGATGACAAGCAGATACAGCATTGCTCTGATACATGTTTTATTTATAGAGAAAATGAAAAAGCACTGCAGTATTTGAGTGTTTCGTGTTTGTCTGATATAATTAGTCTACCGAAATGTGTATGTTCCATACAAAGTACGAAGCTGATTGGTCAGTTCTTGTCACCTGACTTGCTATGCGCTCACGGCATTCTGAAAAGTTGAGATGTTTTTTAACTTGGCATGCCTGGAAGGTTGTGAGCCGCTCTCAAATTGCGTGTACAAGACAAGACGCAAAATGTGTTCTTGCATAGACATGTTGAATTCAACTGATTTGTTGACAAATGGGTTGCCATTCCTTATCAGTTTGTAGGTCCTCGCTGGGCCCTTTCCCCTTCGCAAAGAAACTTTCAAAAGACGTCTGGTTCTTACTCTTTTTGCTAGCTTGTGGGTTACATTTTGGCACTCAAGTGACCAAAATTTAACCAAGAGAATGCAGTCATTTTTCAAAATAAAAGATTGTTCAGACTCCGATAATAAATAAAACCAAAATAATTAATGATTTCTTGTGCAGCCCCTTACCAATTGATCCACAGACCGTTACCGGTCCATGGCCTGGTGGTTGGGGACCACTGCACTACTATCATGTTACAGATTGCAGCAAGGACACACACTCAAAAAATAAATCTAAAATAGAGATAATAACTGTCCACTGGGGAGAACATTTTTTTAACCCTCTAATCATGGCAAAAATATGTCTTGCATTGTGTTAAAAAAATAAATGAAGTATCATTTAAAGCTTTATATGTAAAACAACAGCATGTCATGCCAAACTTTGCTTTATAAACACTTTAAACACAGCACTAAGCACTTTTCATCTTTCCGAAACATGTTGATGGATGCCACTTTCTTTGAATTGGAAATTTGAACAACCCCTTTTACATTTTATCATTTAAAAGTCCTTAATGTCCCCTTTATGCAATGAAAAGATTTCATTTAAAAGAGGTAGAAGATATTCACATTTACATAGATCCTCTAGAGAGGACAAATGCACTTCTGGTAGTCAGGATTCTATTGCAGATCTACAGGGTATCATGTACACACAGACTAGCTAAATGCCAGTGAAGAGCACGCTGTGCCCATCTGATGTCTAACATGACTGAAAGGCAGTCATGCTGGAAGAGCTCAGCATTCCTTTGAGTGTTTATCATGTTGCTATAACACTCACCGTATAAAAGCTGAGCCACTTGTTGGTCGAGCACTGCGGGTGACTTCTGGGCAATGCGCTCAGTCACCAGGGTTGTGCAGGAGCCCACAGGCTCCACAGTGATGGGGCAGGAGGAGGAGGGTCTCTGTAGGAGATGATGGTCAATCACTTCCACAACAGCGTCCTCAAGCTCACTGTCAGCACTGCAATCAGAGTTATTACACACAGTAAATACCCTCATTTATACTTCACAAGTAAATTAGCTGATTTTTGAAATATAGTTTCTAATAATAGGATATTTTTGCATAACAGGATCTCATCCAAATCCTTTCATTTTGATTTATGGCTGTTGTAAGCTATGAAATAATTTCTGAAATCATTCAGCGTACTGATATGGAAGTAGGGCTACACAATATATATCGTTTCAGCATCGATATTACAATGTGAGCATCAGCAACAGGCACATCGCAGGATCTGCAATGTCGAGCATTCAGGCACACAAAATTATAATGTTTGTAACTTAAAGAAACTGTAATTGTAATTATGTATAAATATGATGAAGACTATACTGGATCATTTTACATTTGATTATAAAATTTGCACTGAATACAGCAAGATTTCCAGATATCCATAGAACACTGTTTATTTAGTTTCTGTCTTTGCTGTACTGCATTTTTCACGGCTCATGATTGGTTTATCATATTTTTTGCAGATGTACTTCCCTACAAAACTATCCCAATCAGTCTGAAATGATGAATTCTTTCCATAATAAGCAATTTATTTCATCTAGTAAAATTGTACTCAGTATCACAATATGTATGATAGAAAAATAAAATACTGCAATGTCATTTTCCCCCCAATATCATGTGATGCAGTTAAGACATATCAGGATCTACTTTAGCTGTGTGGTTCCCTGAAAATTGCTGCACATTATAGAATGTTCATCAACCACCAAAATCAAGCATTCAACAACCCCATAGTATAGAAGTATAATAGTAATAGTATAATAGAAAATAATGCACAAATTGTAATGCATTTTTACCTAATAATCAAACAGCCAATTATTCCCTACATATAATATTTATTCTCGATTCTAGATAAGAATTATATCATCTCATAATTATCATGAACTAGAGGATGGAGAACACCATCAACAGAGCTGTATTTTCATTGTGTGGCATGAGCTTCATGATAACATGTAGAACTGAGGTATAAGTTAAGCCAACAAAAGAGCAAAAAGGAAGACTTAGGGTGCTTTCACATCTGTGGTTGGTTCATTTTGTCTGAAACAAGGGCAACAAATGATACATTTAGCATTTTTCTGCCGTCTTTGTGAACTTTTTACATCACACTGCCTGATTGCTTTGGTCCAAACCAGTTGAAAAAAATGAAAATGCAGTCATGTGACAAAACCCACATCACTCATTGGCCAGATGTTGCACTGCAAAAAATGCTTTTCTTACTAAGATTTTTTTGTCTTGTTTCTAGTCCAAATATCTACAAATTCTTAAATCAAGAAGCATTTTCTAGACAAGCAAAACATATTGTCTTGTTTTAAGAAATAATATGCCAATGGGGTAAGCAAAATAATCTTGTTTTTCTATTTGTAATAAGATTATTTTGCTTACCCCATTGGCAGATTATTTAGCTTGATTTAAGGAAAAAAAACTCACTTCATTTTGGCATACTATTTCTTAAAACAAGACAATATGTTTTGCTTGTCTAGAAAATGCTTCTTGATTTAAGAACTTTTATATATTTGGACTAGAAACAAGACAAAAAAAATCAAAAAAAAAAAAAAAAAATTCTAAATAAGAAAAGCATTTTTGCAGTGTATTTCCTAAACTGCTTTTCGATTGGTCAGAATTATCGTGCAGGAAAATGCCAATGGAACTCCTGCAAGTAAACAAACTGGCTGACACAAAATGTCGTTTTTTTACTACGGAGGGACGACTGCGCTGGCTGATTGTATCCCTGGTCATAGTGCACTATATAGTTTGTATAAATCACTTTAGACAAACTATACATTTTGAGAATGAAGCGCGGCTGCAGCTGGAAAACAATGTTTTAAGGCATTACAAATGGTGAAGGCGCATCACAAGTCGCTTCAGGAGGAGGCGTGAATTCATTTAGCCAAACTGCGACATAGTCATCTTCCAGAAATATTACCAACAATCCATCAGGTAATGTTTTACCCTCTCTCTCTCTAAAATTGTTGGTAAAGTGCTGTCAACAAATATTTGTCTTCCACATTCCATAATGCACAGTGCATCTGCCTACAGCAGCTGGATTGGTCCAAAAGGTGCAGTAATTTTTGCGTTTGGGTCTGTTTTAGTTTGGATTATGTTCTCACCACAAGCAAACTGCTCCAGGGTTCATTTGAAAGTATACCGAGACCACCTCTTCATTCACACCTGCCCAATTGACCTGCACCAAGAGGGAAAATAACCTCTAGTGCGATTCAACCGAACTACAGTGCATCCGGTAATTTTGTTTTTTTCACATTGTCATTATGGGGTTTTGTGTGTAGAACTTTGAGGAAATAAATTAATATAATCCATTTTGAAGTAAAGCTGTAACATAAAAAAATGTGGAAAAAGTGAAGCACTATGAATGCTTTCCGAATGCACTGTAAATAAGGCAGGTGTAAAAGCAACCCAAATCACACACAACTGTGAAAAGAACGCAAACCTGCAGGCAAAGGCGACAGTTAAAGTTATGGCTAGCCAATTTTTTTTAATGCAAATGCGACGTGTCAACTCTAAAATTGCATTCCTTATGTATGAGAAAATGTAATAAGGTGTGGTGTTGATTCCTTTTATATGCTAACACTGACCTGGGCAGGACATTGTGGTCGACCAGTGTCAATGTCAGCTGTTTGTTCTTGTGCAGGCCATGGAGATCCACCTCATCCCTGAACAGCAGGTAGTCCTGCGACAGACCGCTTTCTCTCAGCAGAAAGATGCTGTCTGACCGCAAAGGGAACTCAGCGCGTGGAATATTGAGCACAGGCACAGGTATCCTCTTACAATCAAGACTCTACAGCAGACAGACAATAATCTTCAATCTTTCCAATAACACCACAGCAAACATGCTTTATTAGGTTGGGCGTTACATACCTTTGAAAGAAAGTAGGCGAAGGTCAGGGCTGATACCATGGAGTCCATATCACAAGCCTCATTTCCCATTACGACATGCAGCCCTGGGCTGTTCCTACTACAACTCTGAGAATGAAGGAGAACAGTGTCACAGGCCGCTGGACTAATATAGGACAAGAATTCATAGCATTTAACTGCAAGCCTAGTTCTCATACAGCTTTAATTGTTTCTATTCTAAATGCCCCATTATGGTTTCTCAGATATTAACTTTGATGTAGTGTGTTTAAGCTGTTTGTGATTATAACATTTCAAAGATCATAATCCATGATGCATTGAGTTGTCCTGCAAAATATAGAACTAATGAAAACTATTGTACATCTTCTAATACAAACTCTAATCATGGGATGATAACCAGTTTCAAGGTTTACAATGGAAAATTTTTCTGCATTTCTACAGTATATAGAGATGCAATGATTATGGATTTTGGTTGAACGATTATAGTCTGAGGAATAAACACAGATATCACGATTATTTTGCGTTCATTAATTTCAAAACACTACTGGAAAAGTCCTTTTATTTTAAAGTGTTATTTATTTCTGCTCAGTAACCAAATAACACCGCTCAAAATAATAAAAAAAACAAACAATAGTGGCAACACGGTGGCATAGTGGGTAGTACAATCGCCTCACAGCAAGAAGGTTGCTGGTTCAAGTCATGGCTCGGTCCGTTGGCGTTTCTGCATAGAGTTTGCATGTTCTCCCCGTGTTTGCGTGGGTTATCTTCAGGTGCTCCGGTTTCCCCACAAGTCCAGAGACATGCGGTACAGGTGAATTAAATAAGCTAAATTGGTCATAGTGTATGCGAGTATATGCAAGAGTGTGTGGGTGTTTCCTGGTGTTGGGTTGCGGCTGGAAGGGCATCCGCTGCAAAAACATGCTGGATAAGTTGGAGGTTCATTCCACTGTGGCGACCCCTTATTAATAAAGGGACTAAGCCGAATTAAAACGAATGAAAGAACAAACAATAATCCATTTCTCTTTGGATTTCAAAATATGTGAAAAAAAAGTTGTTGGCATTTAAACAGAATAATTTTACACTGAAAATAAACGACAGAACAAGTAATAAATAAATAAACATAACAATAAATTAAAACAATAGTATTTGTCTAATGTAAATCTAAGCTACATATAGCTAAGTATTTCCTTTTACAGGTAACAAATGTAGTCAAAGGCTGCTGCTGAACCTCCGTCTAAAAGGCACTTTTGATCAACTATATCACAAAATTGTTTGGTATTTTTATTAATTATGTTTTTTTTCTCTCTCTTTGGTGTATACTGAGTGTATATGAAGCTGATCAGTCCAGTTCTTGCAATGTGACTCGCCGCATTCTTTTAACTAGGTGCGCCTGGAAAGCATGTGTGAGTGTGTCATGCACCTCGTGCGCCGTGTTCGCACACATTGCTCCCAATATGCGCACGCAAGCAGCACACCTTTATTGTTTGTATTAGGGCTGCACGATTCTGGCTAAAATGTGAATCACGATTTTTTTTGCTTAAAATCAAGATCACGATTCTGTAAAATAAAGGTTAATATGAGCAGGATATTATTATATTTAATTCTCAAACATATCATCACCTTGGAATTATAAGGTTATATCTGCATTCTGAATGATTTTGAGATATTGAGCTTCAAAGTTTTTGCATTCCATAGCAAACAGTATGTGTGTAACATTTTTTATTTTTTTTAAGTCTTAAAATGTAAACAATAAGTTGTCATTTAATAAGAATACATCAATAACTCAAATTTGACAAAAATGTCAGCTAGAAATGTCTTACCCAGACATTTAAAAAGAACATATTTTAGAGCAGTAATCACAGTACCGTGATAATTTTATCATCATACCGCCAGAATCTTATACTTTCCCATGCCTAAAAAAACTCATGTAAAAATTGCATAATATCTACCTATTTTATTCACTGGCTGCCTGAAAAACTTCTGCTTTTATCGGCAAATACTGTAGATGTAGATGAACTGTGGAAGAGTTTGGTTTGTGTTGTTGAAATTTCGAGAATTTGAATTTTTGAATTTTCGAGAACTCTCAATGCAATCTTTTCGATGAAAATCCAATAAATAGGAAAGTGAGCAAGTGAGTGTTTACAAATACTGAAGAAGTCCTCCAAAGCTGAAATTCATGTATGAACTGTTCACCTCCTAGCTCATTTCTACTGAGCGGTACAGTAATTATAATACTGTCCTGAAGCGGCGTTCAGTATAGTACTGTACTGAATGACTCATGTAAAACACACTGTAAGCTGTAGGCCAACCACTACAAACTATGCCATCTGATCAATCAGAGCAGAGTTGAGTCTCAGAATAGTAAGTTTAAGAAAACATCCTTGAATGAACCCTTTCAGACCCAGTGAGAAAAAAAAGCTAATTCTGAAATGTCTATTATGAGACTTTTTTAGTCTCTTTAAGCCCTGTATTCAGGTAATCCCATTGCACAAGACCTTTAAAACAAAAAAGAGCAACCTTTAAAACACACAATGTGTCACTTTAAATCAGCCTGAAATACACAACTAAAATGTCAGTTTGTGATTTCAGTCACATTATTTCTGCGCAAATATTTACAGCAAGTAAACTACATGACAAGCTGGAAATGCATCCAGCAGGCTGTGAAGAGTTGCAGCTCCACAAACTGAGCTTCAGCTGACAAACAATGCTGAACATATGATCAGCCAGTCCTCTAGAGATGACTGACAGCCAGTGTGAGGAGGGTACAGTGTGCCAGAGATAAAACACCTCCTGCTTCTCACCACTGCGTGCCTTTAACAGATGATAACATGAATGATTGACAACAAAACTCATTTCCTATAACCTCTATAAATTAGTCAATATTTTGCACTGAATGTAAAGCTGATGATATGCCATGTAAAATTGTGGGTAACAGTTTTGTTTAGGAAAATTGTTCTTTTTTTCTGCTAGTGAATGTAATGAAGATTGTTTTCACTACTTTGTCATTTGTGGTAATTCCATCTGCATTAAGTGGCATTCACACTATCATTTGTTTGTTTATTATTGTTTTCTATATGTAAAACACTAAGGGAAGCTGGTAGAAGAGGTGACAAAAAGATGCTAGGTAGAAGGTCTATTAATGTTACAGACTAAACCTACTGCCTAATAGGCAGTGCCTATCACACTTAATATAATAATCCAAATTTATTGTTACCTTTGCAATTTTGAGTACCTGTTTTTCGGCTTTCCCAAAGCATTCATGCTGCCATTACAAAATACAAGCTTGCAGGAATTAGTGGTGTTGAAATAAGTATCCAAAAAAAAATATATATATATTAAAAACAACATCAATAACAACAAAAAACCACTGTGTTGGTCTCTGGAAAAATTGTGACCCAAAAACCCATTTAATACCCCTCCACGGTCAATTGAAAAGTAAAAAATACCACAACAGCAAGAGCTTCAGTTATATTTAAACATTTCTTAAAGAAAGAAATCATTGACTTCTTTCAGTTTCATTGTGAATGAAGTTCTGCAAAACTCAAAATGAAAAGATACAATTATAAATAAAATAGTTTCTTTTTTATTAAATTGATGTCAGGAATAATGTGAATATTATATTTGATGGCAAAAAAGAAACCAAAAGAGGGATTTTCTTATGATTTCAGTAGCAGATGCTGACAGAAATAACGATTTATTTTCTTATTGGGTTGATTGTGCCAACTTTACATTGGTGTGGAAGATTTATTCATGTTTTTAAAAACATTTTCAAGTCTCCATCGAATTTATTAAAATTTCAGACATTTTTGGTAAATTACTATGAAGACATTAGAAGAACTGCGTTGTATTTTATAAGCGCTTTTAAACAAATTTTTTTCTTTCTGGACAATGCTAAATTTTCAACATCATTATTTATTTATTTTTCCAGATATTGACTATCAGCCTTCAAATATAGCTATGAGCATCAGTGCATTTCTACTTAAATACGCTCATTGGCCACTTTATTAGGTACACCTGTCCAACTGCTTGTTAACGCAGTCAATAACATGGCAGCAACTCAATGCACTTAGGCATAGACATGGTCAAGATGATCTGCTGCACTTCAAACCGAGCATCAGAATGGGGAAGAATGGAGATTTTCTCAGACGGGCTGGTCTGAGTATTTTAGAAACTGCCATCTGTAGGGTTTACTTTACAGAGAATGTTCTGAAAAAGAGAAAATATCCAAAATATCCAAATATCCAGGGCACAAATGCATTGTTGATTCCAGAGGCCAGAGGAGAATGGCATGACTGGTTCGAGCTGAAAGAAAGGCAACAGTAACTCAAAAAAAAAAAAAAAAAACACTCGTTACAACCAAGGCATACAGAAGAGCATCTTTGAATGCACAACAAGTCAAACCTTGAAACTGATGGGCTACAGCAGCAGAAGAGCACACCAGGTGCCACTCCTATCAGCTGAGAACAGGAAACTGAGGCTACAATTCACAGAGGCTCACCAAAATTGGACAATAGAAGATTTGAAAAACGTTGCCTGGTCTGATGAGTCTCGATTTCTGCTGTGACATTCGAATGGTACGGTCAGAATTTGGCATCAACAACATGAAAGCATGGATCCATCCTGCCTTGTAAGAACGAATTAGGCTGGTGGTGGTGGTGGTGGTGTAATGGTGTGGGGGATATTTTGTCGGCACACTTTGGGCCCATTAGTACCAATTGAGCATCTTGTCAACACCACAGCCCACCTGAGTACTGTTGCTGACCATGTCCATCCCTTTATGACCACAGTGTACCCATCTTCTGATGGCTTCTTTCTGCAGGATAAGCACCATGTCATAAAGCGTGAATCATCTCAGACTGGTTTTTCGAACATGACAATGAGCTCACTGTACTCAAATGGCCTCCACAGTCACCAGATCTCAATCCAATAGAGCACCTTTGGGATGTGGTGGAACGGGAGATTCGAATCATGGATGTGCAGCTGACAATAAATACATGCATATTGTCCCACTGTGTGATTGGGTGTCCAGAAAGGCACCATTTATAAATAAAACTAATTATTATTATTATAATTATTATTATTATATACATACATATATATAAAAATACAGACTGCATTAAATTTGTTGTATTTAAAACGTTAAAAAAAGAGATTTCAAGAGCCTATATTAAACCCTACTTGAGAAATGAAGAGCACTTCTAATAGAATAACACCGAATACATCACCCTAGATTAAATAAATCCTTTTATCTCTCCCCATGATGATGTTAATTAGTATTCGGCTCGCTCCATTACTCCAGCCGAATACAGCAGCAGCCATCAGTGACGTCAGCATTAAATGATGTACTCTGATCTGGGCAAACAGCTGGGGTTTGTTTGAAATGCTGAACGACAGACTGTCAACACAGACAGACTGAGCTCACAGCTGGCACAGACCCGGGACAGGCTTGTTTAGGGCGAATTTTTTGGCAAAGCTCCGTCTCTCTCATGTGATAAACATCACCAAAAAATCTCAGTTTGATGGGGAAGTGAAGGAAAAAAAAACATGCTTATTCTGAGAACTTGCTTATTAGTCACCGTGATGTGAAATGGACCACGCGATGGTGAGTAAACAGTACAAAAACCGTGGAAAGTGTCTCTATATTTGCAACCTCACGCTTCGGTGCGGAAAAAAAGCACTTTAACCACAAGTGAAACCGTATATTTTCTTTAATCATTGACTGAATTGGTTAAAGAAACCATCTTTGCTCGCTTCTGTGAGCTGAGAGACTCAAAGTAAACACAGGGATTGATATTAGGTGGTTAGCAGTCGGAGAGCGCAAGTGTTTGGGTTTAAAACAACAGTGTTTGGGGTTGAGAGATGCACTGCTGTTGAGCAGATGTGGATAGGATTGTATGAGCCGGACAGGCAGCAGGTGTTATTGTCTCTGCAAATACAGACAACTTGTGTCATGAAACTGAGCGCATGAGGCTGTAAAACTAGAAAAGTGGGAACCATTATTATTGATTAAACAAAGTATCTATAAAAAACATTCAGTTATGGAGCTGCAAAAGCATTTAAAGGGCTAAATTTAATACATTTATCAAGGGAAAAATATACATCTTAAGTGTGATCAAATTTGCACAATTACAAAGTGGAAAATAGAGTTGGGTGTAATAGTTCTGCAAAAGAGTAAAGGGATTACTTTTAATGTTTTCATTTGCCTTAAATACCAGAAATAAATTCAACTGTTTATAATAGATTCAGAGAAGGAGAGTAACAATAAACAAATATATTTTGCAGAATAATTAGATTTTTAAGCTAAAGGATACATTTATCAAGACGACTGAACATGCTTAAGAACCAATGGATTGAGTCAGTAATAATGAGAGTATAGGATATCCATTTATGAAATGTGTTGTAGTTAGTTAGAAATTTTTGAATAAAAAATGCTTGAAGTCTGTGTCATGAGTGATGATGCAGACAATTCATCTTAGATTTTTAGTACAACTGTTTAAATATAACTGTAATTTATTCCTGTCATTTAAAAGCTGAATTTTTAGCAGTTAAATACCATAAAAAAAATGTAACTTCTGGTAAATGCTCTCCTTCTGAACATATTCATCAAAGAAAGAAATTCATCTTACATTTTTTTAATTATTATATTGAAAACAGCCAAGCAGCAAGATTATTATATTAATATTAGAATATTATTCTTCGAATATCTGTATGATTTTTGAAGCATCACGTGACTTGAGTAATGATGCTAAAAATTCAGCTTTTGAAATGACAGGAATAAATTACAGTTATATTTAAATAGTCGTACTAAAAGTCTGAGATTATTGTCTGTATCATCACTCATGACACAGACTCCAAGATTTGTTTATTCACAAATTTCAAAGTAATTACACCATATTTCATAAACGGATATCCTATACTCTCATTATTACTGACTCAATCCATTGTTTCTTAAGCATGTTCAGTTGTCTTGATAAACATAAACTTTAGCTGAAAAATAGAATTATTCTGCAAAATATATTTGTTTATTGTTACTCTATTCTTGTTGTACTTTGGGTGAAATAAATGCAGGCTTGGTGAGCAGAAGAGACATCTGAAAAAAAAAAAAAAACATAAAAAAAAAGTATAAGATTCTGACGGTATGATAACCTTGGATAAAAATAGCAAGGTATCATGGTATTGTGATTACTGCAGCAAAATAAGTTCTGTTATGGGTGCTTTCACACCTGTAGATCATTTGTTTTGTTCTGAAAAAGTGATTAAAATTTTTAAATTGTTACTTGCTAGTAAAGTCTCCTCACATTGGTCAGTTTCAGGGATTATTTTGCAGAGTCCTGCTCAGCTGTCATGTGTTCTTATTTTAATTGATGACGATGAGCAATAGGCATTATAAGCGAAAGGTGCACTTTAATTATGAGTGGTGACACCCACAAACATGTTCGCCATACATAAATCAATGGTAAGACTTGCTCATACATAGCCTTGGCTAGAATTATAGGCTTTACATCATAAATAGAAATAACAGACATACTAAGACTGCAGTTCGGTCAATTAAAAAAAAAAAAAAAACTAAATAAAACAGTTGGGAAAATCGTGAAAAAAAACCTAAACAGACAAAAAAATATATACCTTAAGAACAGTATAACGAAAACTTTCTGGGTTTTAAAACCTAAACTTTTCCAAACTACGGTATACCTTGAGACGGGTTATCATCCCATGCCTAGTGTACATGCATGAATCTGGACGTACTGGATTTACTAGGTTGCAAAAAACTATATTGAAGACAAACTATAAAACTAAATTTAGAAAAGAGTTAATATTTATTTTAATTCTCTAAAAGTCTGATAGATTTCTTACTAATTTTAATTTAAAATATTGTCATTTAGAGCACTTTTAGTTATTTGTCTAGTTACATTTAGCAGAAAACTGCAATTGATTAAAACATGTTTTCAGTTGTTGTCAGTGAAAAAGCAATAGGTTACTCCATATACTGCTTTTATTACTTCTGAAATGAAAACATTCATTTTTGTCTGTAAAGGAATCTAAACATGTTTGAAAACATGGAATAATTAGGTCATTTAATTCTCTAAATGACGAACCTTTAACTTTAAATGTAGAAGAAATCATTAGTTTAGCATAAAAAGAGTGACGAATATGAAAATGAGAACTGCCAAGTATTTTTTAAACTCCAAATACACAAACTTACAAAATGCATATAGAAAATATAAAACACAATTATGCACATAGAAATATAAAAACTTTTAGGCTACGTGTGGCAAAAATGCGTAATTATAATGTGTTGTATTGAACTGTATTTTGGATTGAACTCAATTGTACTGAATGTGTGTGAATATGCATAATTAATAATCACATTTTCATATAATTATACTAGTTAGCACCATAAGTTAACAGAGCATTGCATTACGTCAAAGTTACACTGTTGTAATATTTATAGGTGTAGTCAATGTAAAAACAAATCACTATCAAACCTTTTGTTCTAATATAGATGATAAACGTAAACAAACATATGTGGTTTCTCGCAGTGGTCTCTCAGTCAATAGCGCATGCGGCCAGGGTCCGTGCACGCGCGTCATACCATATGACTTAAGTCAATATCAAGTGTACATTAAACAAAGCATACATTATTTACAACACCAAACTATCACATACGACAAGCACACTCAAGTGTCTGAATGTCACGACACTAAACGACTGGTTACTGGCCACATTTTAAGTGGCTAATATGGTAGAAGACAACAAACCACGCGTAAGTGTTTAAGCGCACAGTATTAGCTCAATCTTACCTTCAGCACATCACGACAGCTCCGTAAATACGCCTCCATTGTTACACGGAGCACGAGGGGTTTCACGTTGCGGAATATCCTAAAGAGTTTAAAAATGCCCTTCAGTGTACCGAAATGTGTAGAGGACCTCAGCGCTTCACTGTGTGCAAGTTATGAATCCAGAGCTGTGCGAGAGCGTAGACGTATCTCATTGAGTTACGTCCTGACGTCACATGACCAGACGGTAAATGTAGTTCTGTGGAGTTCTGAGAGTTGTAGTGCATGTTGGCCAACTTCCACAAGACTACTGAACTGTGTGTAGATAAAGGCTATATATATATATATATATATATATATATATATATATATATATATATATATATATATATATATATATATATATATATTTTTTTTTTTTTTTTCCCCATACATTTTTCATCCAATTTACAGGTTAATGGCTAATTTAATGCTAACTAAACTTAACTCCTGCTACCTAAATAAACATGCAACTTACTAGCCTACATAGAGGTAAATTTGGTTTTATATTTGCACATTCGTTCATTTAGAAGTCCCTATATTGTTTACCATGGTACTTTGATTATTCGATTGGATTTAGCACGCAAGTATGATTTTAAAACAACATTAACACTATCTAATTCACTGTGAACAATGTTGTACTTTGATTGTCATTTGCTGCTAATATGATTTCCCTACTTAGAATTTGCAAAGAATACTTTCCTGAAATTATATTATTAAGGAGAATGTCTGATTATCTGAATATAAAACCAACTTTACCTCCATCTAGCCTTCCTGATTAAACAAGAAAGATTACATTGAATTTATACAGCTCTCATTGTGCAAAATTCAACCTAAAACATGATTTTATGAAGGGAAAACTATCTATTTTTACAAACAGCAATTTAGACTGTCCAGCAGTAAACCAATGGGTTAAAATTAGATTCAGAATGGAGTCATCCATTTTTAATGAATAAGTATCAAAAGTTATGAACCAGTATTGAAAAAATGATAAATCTTTAAGACTAGTCTCAGCAGTTTATAAAGCGCCCAGCTCCTAGATCAAACAAAAACATACAAATGAGATAAAATTCACAGGAATTGGTAACCAATTTGTTAAAATGTAAAATGGTTGCAAATTAACATTAGATTGTTTTGAACCAGGAAGCAGCTCACAACTTCAATGTAGCTGCAAATAATTAAGAACTTTTCAATTTGTCCCTTCTCATCCTGTCTCACTACACATGTGGAAAAGTTGCTAGCAAAATTAATGAACAGCATCCACGACGCTTGTAATGTAAAATTAAACAAATAATGTTTTATTTGTCTTTCTGAGTATATGAAAACAGCCTTTTCTGATTTACACAATGGCACAGTATCGGTACAAAAAGTAGAAATTGGATCTTTAAAAATACAACTTCAGTAAAATACAGTACATTAAAATGTTTATGTACTCATTCTTTTCTCCAAAGACATTTAAAATAATCTAGTGTTTTTTAAGAGGTAACACATTGAAACAGCATTATAAATGGTCTTCTACATAATATTTCTTTCTATTAAAAATAAATCACATAAAAGCTCATTTAATTTCTATAGGTTTGTCGGTCTAAAAGTATTTTTTCAATAGAGCTGCTAATATATCTTCTGCAGAAAACCTCCACGCACTGGGGGATTTGATCTGTTTTAAAGCTGATGCTTTGTTCTTGATCTAATTTCTGCTATGAATCACATTTTGTCCAATAGCATGCCAGTTTACATCTTCTCCACATAGTTGCCAGGAAACATGCCTTCCTTTCCTCGAAGACGACCTTGCCACCAACCTGAAGGGTCTGAAAAAGACAGGCAGCAGTTCTGCATTCTCTAACCCAATATAATCAGTATGAAGTTCACTTTTAATGTTAGGAAAATAGATTACCTTCACTTAGGATTTCTATGATATCATCTGGTTGAAAGCTGAGCTCATCCGTGTCCTGAGCATCGTAAGCGTACAGTGCTTTGCACCGTGGGGTGCGGGGTACAGGTTTGGGACTGGGTTTAGGACGTCCTGATCCTGGAAGAGGCTTGTACTCTTTTGAGCGTCTGCGATGCATCCTGAGAGGAAACACAGGGAAATATTTCTTTAAAAAAGACTGCAAAGCTCTTAAATAAAATAAAAAAAATAACAAAATAAACAAAACAAAATAATAATAATAAAATAAAATAAATAAAAAAATAATAATAAAATTAAATTAAATTAAAAATAAAATAAAATATAAAAATACATAATTTTTTGAAATCACTAAAAAGAGTGGTAAAATTGTAATAACTTTATTGTCAGGTGCAAAATGTAAATCATTTTAGGGAATAATGAAAATTAATTATGCAATTCATTGATCTATGCAAGCAAGTTCCAACAGGATTTTAAAGAGTTAGCATGCAAAAATACATAAAAAACACATATAAATAAATAATTAAATAAATAGATAAATATGAACATATTAAATGGTTTAAACTGTTTAAGTATGACAAAAAGTCCATATTTACAGTTTTTAATTATGCACTTTAAAAAGAATTAATGGAAAAAAAATTCTATAAGCAAAACTATAATAATATGATTTGACATTAGGCCTAAACAATATTTCCTTTTAGCATTGCTATCGCATTGTGTATCTGCAATAGTTGCATTGCTGGATTAGATTATTTATTAAAGTTTGAAAGTTAATCTATATTTTTATCTTTTTTATTATTTACCCAATGATGACCATGTCATTTTACACGTTATTGTTCAATTTCTGTACTTGAACCCAAAAAAAACAAAAAGCACTGTTTGGGCTTGTTATTTATGCAAATGCACTGCATAGAAAAAGACTTGATCATCCCAGTCAATCTAAATTTATGAAATCTTTCCAAATAGATATATTCAAATCATCTGGTAAAATTTTGTAATAAAATAATTTTTCCAATATCGTGCAGCCATATTTGACAGCAGCAATTATCTTAATTGATTTACAATTGGCGCCCATCATGACCTTGTAGACTAGTTCCAGCTGAACAAGTTTTTTTTTTCATACAGTAAATATTGCTTGTAGGAAATGAATGTTGTTATAGCATAATGATCAGAGCCTCTTTCAGTCATCTTACCCGGCCACGCCTTGATCAGGAACCTTCATGAAGCCCATATCAGTGTAGACCTGGCTCTCTCTCTGACTGCGCACGGATCCCTGGAGTCTGGGAAGGGTCGGCTGATCCATAGTGGACTGCTGGCGGAGTAGAGAGTGTCTGACGGCTGGCTGCCCTCTGCCTCGACCAGCAGACTTAGGAGCTTCTGAAACAACAGAGAACATTAAACATAATTAAAACATTTTTTATAGCATTTTTAGTAGCAAGCAACTCCTAGGAATTATGTAAAATTGTGGTCTTACCCCGTGAATACTGTCCTGCACTGCGATTCTGGTTGCCCATGAAGCTGCTCTTTCGGTTGTCCCGACGTGTGGGTCCTGTACAAATAATGATTGTGGTATTAAAAAATAACTTCTAAATGTTGCCCTTTTGAGCTTTAAATTTATACATCAAATCAGTTTCACATAAATAAAGTGTCATTTTTCTAAACATTACTCATCTTATGTTTTATGAGCACCAAATCAGCATATTAGAATCATTTATGGAAGATCATGTGACACTGAAGAGTGATGATACAAAAAATTCAGCTTTGCAATCTCATGAATTACATTTCAAAATATATTTAAATAAATGCATTAAATAAATACAACATTAATTAAGTGCAGCTTTTTACATGTATTCAAGAGTATCAGGCCCGTAGCCAGCCTGGTAAAAAGCGCAGTTCTTTTTATTATTTTATTTTTAAAAAATTGGACATTTTTACATTTATTTGCCTAGCCTTATTTTCTATTTAATTTTAAAATAGAAAAAGGTTTAAATATTGCATTTTAGTGGCATTTTAAGCACAATTTTTTAGCTGGATCAGCTTGTCAGATGGTCATCATAACCACACTTTTTGATGTTCTAAAAATATTTCCTAAGATTTAGAAAAAATGAAATCTGCTAAAGTTTTAAGTTAAAAACTGCAGCATATGGGGTATATGCCAAACTAATGTGTTTCCCATACAGATAAACTTCCGGTGACCTGTTATTGTGAATTTTTTTTCCATTTTATACCGTTCCTTTTACAGCATTAATGTTGTAATGTAATTCAAATACAATCAGTTAAACAGACTTTGGCATTCATTTAGTTACTCAAGTGTAAAACGAGACAAAAAGCCGTTTGCTCGCACGTGCCCGTCAGAATCGGCAGGATAGGGCAGAAGCTCCATTGAATATACTGGGATAAAATAAATGCTCATATTATAAAGACATGGCGGGGGAAATGTGATTTAATGCAGTGCTTCTTGTACAATCTGAGAACCACTTTATATCAAATATCATTCAGCCAGTGGAGATTGATGATTTTCAAAGAAAACAGACCTTACACGCGTCGATTTTGCATTGGCATACAATTCACCGGAAACAATTAACCCAGGTTACTGGCAAATTAAAAGTCCTATTAGCATGCTTCGGCATATACCCTACTGTGTCATTAATTAGGCAAATACCAAACTGAGCATTACATTTAACTTCAGTAAAAAAAAAAACCCAAAAATATGATAATATAGAGCTTGACATTTTTTCTGGTCTCTCTTGTAAAAAAGTACATTTAAAAATTCATGGATAACAATAGCCAAATTAGAATTAAAACTAATTTTAATATGGTCTGCTTTTGGTGCTTCACACTTTTTATTGATTTTTTTTCTTTACAAGATTTAGAATAAAAGTTCCTTGTAAAATGTTTTCTCTATTTAATAACAATAGTCCTACCTCACTTACCGCTTCACATTGCGCTTGGTCTTAAAGCCTTTTATGGGTTATTTTTTTACAATTTATGATGGCTTAGCAGTCAAAATAGGACAAATGAGCTCATGCATGGGACAAATTCTGGACCTTTGTCAGTGGGAGATTCTTTCTAACCACCGGAACCCCCTCTGGCTACAGTCCTGAGTATGAATGGGATGCATCTAACATGAATTTTAGCATCAGAACATTATTTGTGCAGTGTATTCAGGACATCATATTTTTAGATGCCTAATAGCTGCTATTTTGAAAACTTATCTTGGCTGACAGCCAATGCCAATAATCTTTTTGT